TTCCAACGTTGTCTATGTACCATAACATATAAATATAATTATATATATTTTTAGAACCCTCTTAAGAGAAAGAAAATAGAAGTGATAGACTTAACTAATATCGACGACGAAGACATCGTCGAACACCCACCCGCGAAAAAGGCTAAGATAGTATCCAAAGCAGAAAATAAAAAAGTATTTTTTGAAAAAACAGAAAATAAGAAAATATTTATTAAAAATACAAAAACGAAACTCGACATAATAAAAAATGAAAAAACAACATATAGTCCATGCAACACTACCACTGTAACAAACGTTGACCTCAGAGAAGAACAAATCGACTTTACCATCGAGAAGAGTCCAAACACAGCATCAATAATTCCCACAGTACAGTTGACCGAAACGAAGGCAAGAAAAAGCAAAAACAGACATAATTATAGTAAATACAACAAATATAAAGCGATGGAACTACTAGAATACATAACGAATGTGTACAACGACGAAGACATATACACAAACAAACAAAAAAAGAATATTAAACGATTAGCCCACGAAATAACAACTTATAACAAGAGGTACGAGAACCGAAGATTATTAGAAAAAACCGTCTGCGTTGAATGCACAGACGTATATAAGTATAACAGAGACACACTTACACTAATAAATATGTTAATAGACTTTTTGTGAATAAAAAACTAATTGATCTAAAAAACAGCACACTCTTTTTTAATTCTCCCTAAAACCTCCCTAAATTTTACACATAGTCTATTGCAATTAAAATGTTTAGCAAAATTCAAAAATTTTTAAAAAATCTAAAATAAAAACCTAAAAAAATTTTTTACTCCTTAAATTTGATGCATAGTTTATTGCAAATCAAAAACCGACATTCAAAATTCATAAATCTAAAATAAAACAATTTTAATATTAAACCTAAGTTACAATCCAAAAAATACTCACCAATACAAGCGTGCTACAAAAACTCCTTGAATACAAAAACCAAAACTCCTTGAACACAAGAATTAAGATCCATTTTAAACACAACTAAAATTCCACAAAAAACAAACTTCCCTTCAGAGACACTTTGTTAAAAATCCACAGTAAACAAACTCCCTTTTCACATAATTAAATACTCAAAGTAAAAAGAAAGAAAGAAGAGAAAGAGTAGCCCACCTCAAACATAAACTGTCCACCACATGCTTAAGTCGGGTTTGAATCTAATCATAAAGCATCTTGGGTAAAACCACTTTGTTACTAGGAACTTATTTGATCACTACACACTAGTAGACAAACAAAAATAATATCAAAAATAAAAAAACAAGTAAGCAAGAAGACACGCGTGAAAAACAGCAAGAACACACACACAACAAAAGACCTATGACTCAGATGATACACACCTAAAACAAAAAATTAAAATTAAAAAACAAGTAGGCAAGAAGACACGCATAAAAAACAGCGAGAACACACACACACAACAAAACACCTATGAGTCAGATGACACACACCTAAACAAAAAATCTGATATTCAAATGACACACCTAAAGCAAAAGATCTGATATTCAAATGACACACACTAAATAAGCACCAAAACTAAATAAAGACCAAAATTAACTCTATTTAGACTATTAACTCCATCATTTTCATATGATGACAATAATAAATAACAGTATTAACTTTAATTTTCTTCTAATTAACACGCTAACTTTAAATTTTCTTTTAGATAAATCGCTTAATAAGATAGAGTATAACAGTATTTCTCTTAAAACAAATAATATATAAAACTTATAAAACTTTTATTAAATCCCTACCTCCCTACGAAGACCAATCAACACCCTCTGTCAAGTGTATCGCTATAGCAGTGGATCTTAGACGAATTCCTTCACTTCTGCTTCCCACACTCAGCTCCTTATGTGAAGTGTCAGTTAGAGAGGCTGCTGCTGACCCAGCATTGATTGAAGCTTTTTGAATTTTCTCTTAAAGAATAATATAAACATATAAACAGCCTTAATGAATTTTTTCTTAAGAATAAACAAACAAACTTTAACTTAACTTTTCTTAGAATAACATAAGTAAACAAATAAACTTCAAACTACTAAACATACAGGAGACACCTCCTTAATAGTAACAACTAAATTGTTTCACATTAAAAACTTCGAATGTGTTTGAAAACATTAAACACTCCGAGTGTGTTTGAAAACATTAAATTCTACAAAAAGAACTTAAAAAACTCTAAACTCTAAATATTATAGCAATAAGAACCTAACAATAATTTATAACTTGAATGAATAAAAAGATTGCTGCCCCATCCCAGACCCTCAGTCGATGTAGCAACACTCCGCTGCGAGTCAGGCTATTTGTCAGTCGATGTAGTAGCACTCCGCTGCGATTCAGGCTATTTGCGAGTCAGGCTATTTGTCAGTCGATGTAGTAGCACTCCGCTGCGATTCAGGCTATTTGTCAGTCGATAGAGCAACACTCCACCGCGAGTCAGGCTACTTGTCAGTCGATGTGGCAGCACTCCGCTGTGATTCAGGCTATTTGTCAGTCGATAGAGCAACACTCCACCGCGAGTCAGGCTACTTGTCAGTCGATGTAGCAACACTCCACCACGAGTCAGGCTAATTGTCAGCCAATGTAGCAACACTCCACCACGAATCAGGCTAGTTGTCAGTCAATATAGCAACACTCCACCACGAGTAAGGCTATATGTTAGTCGATGTAGCAACATTCCGATGCAAGTCAGGCTATTTGTTAGTCGATAGTAGCACTCCGCTGCGAATCATACTACTCGATCATTGTGTGTTTAAATAGTTACGAGACAACCACCTGCTCTAACCAAAGAGATAGAAACAGTCCAATTGTTATCATAAGAATAATATAATAGAGATAAATGATTAAACTTTAAACTATTAAACATATAAAATAACTGTTAAAAACAATCTAATTTCGCATAGAACTCAATAAAGAGTTAAACAAACATTTAACCTTAAAGTTTTTTTAAAAAACTAATAAAACGTAGTAAAATAGTATAGACTTAATATATATATATATAGATTACTAAAGACTTTGAAAAAACGCCAAAATTTATAAGAAGAACACGATAAGTCTAGTATGTAAAAGAATCTAATAATTTTGCCTCACTCTAATTGAATACTCCTTTTTATTATGAATAATCTATTTTATTAACTTATGTTTACATCTAAACCCATTGAGATTAGACAATTAAAGAAAAGCTGAATGCAAAAAAGTGATCATATCACCATAAACATCTTAGATTTAAGAAGACTAGACAATAGAATAGAAAAATTCGAAAGAGAAACCTCAACCCACTAAACGTCAACGTAAAGTATAGAACCGACCCAAAATGTAGTTAAAAATTAAAACCACCACAACAGTTTTTAAAAAAAGTGATAAACTTAAAAATTAAAAATTAAACCACCACAACAGATTTGAATATATTAGAAACTTAAAAACTTAAAAATTTAACCACCACTATAGATTTGAAAAAATGATAAACAAAAAATAATACCAATAATAATTTTATGAACATTGTTTAGCTCCACCTCCTTCTCCTATAAGTGATAAAACTCTCTCTGGACACCTGTCCAACTTTTTGCGTAAACACTTCACTAACACTTAAACTTTTTTAGAATCTCTTATAACATTTTTTTTTTTCTCTCTAGACTACCAGCCTATTTTTCACGATCGATACAAAGAACTTTGTTCTGAGTGTCAAATTTTGTAACCCTAACCCTGACCCTAACCCTAACCCTGACCCTAACCCTAACCCTGACCCTAACCCTAACCCTAACCCTAACCCTAACCCTAACCCTAACCCAATTTTTCTGAGAGCAGTATTAGCAAGAAATGTTATATAATAGCAAACAAAAAATTATTATATTTCTTATTTTACTTTAAATATAACATAAACTTATGTTGCCATGTATATATGTAATATAGTATATTTACACAACATAAAAACGACATGCTAACAATAATAAAAAAAACTGTTTAATGGTGTGACCAGAAAAAAAGTTATTCTTACCTGAATGGTGACGAATTCAATTTTATTACCTAAACTGTTGGCTGATGATTAATAAAGTAAATTTCAATTCATGACAATTTACTAAATTAAAAATGTTCTCCTTGTTTATGTTTACTAAGGTAGTATGGATGTTTTAGATACACTTCTAACAGTTACAACCCGAAAGCGCAATCTGATTTTGAGTTTTTTATAGGGGGATGGAATAATTCAGGCGGTGGGAATAAGCTACTACAGTCATCCTCCCATCTTATTTTGTGGTGTTTGACAGAAGCTTCTTTAAACATTAAAAAAAAACATTTAAAAACAGGATAAACAGGATATTTACTAGATTTTTTAATAAAGTTATTTATAACTCGTTTTGCCTAATACTCCAGGAAGAACTAAGTTAACTTGTCACTTGGTAAATTTGTTTTAATTTTTAGTTAGTTATGTATAGAGAAACCTATAAATATCACCAAAAAAAACAATGTGACCCATATCTTAGCAAATGACAATTTTTTTCTTACCTTTATTACCAAAACTTTTGTCAGCAGAATAGTATGAAAACATTGACACAGTTTTTGTTTCATAGTTTTGAATTATAGCAAGTATTTCCTCTTATGATTCTGCACATATCCACTTTCCTTCTAAAAATATCATATACTAATAATTACTTTAATAATTCAAAATAATAAAAATAAAATAAAATTATCAAATTTGGAAAAATTATGAATGCACAAAATACATAAATTTATATAATATATATTAAAAATTATATAATACCATAAAATTATCATTAATAAGATTAGAATCTTGTAACAAACTTAAACTCTTATCTTCTCCCGATATCTTATCATATGAAAAAGAAATTTTGTCCATTTTGCAGTTATTATTTTCTACTAAATTCATCAAGTTAATATATTCCTTTCGGCTATATAGGACAAATAAGAAAGCATGGCTAAAATTATTTATAAATTTAAATATATCAACAAAAAAATAATTATTCATGTAAAAAATGGTTAGCTATCTTTTGGATGATCCAAAAGTAGGTTTGCGATTTTGAAGAAAACACAGACCAAGAATGTTTTTGATTTGCGCTATTGCGCTATTGCGCATGCGAAATTTTTGTAAACCTACTTTTGGATCATCCAAATCTTTTTTAGATAATGCTCAATATCGCTGATATACCAATTCATTTTTTACAAATTCTTAAATATTTTTGATAGTAGAGTGAAAGAAGACAGCTCTTCCATTGCTTTTAAACATTTTTTAAGTAATTTTTTTCTTTTATATTTTCGCCTTACTCTTTAGCAGTAAGTTTTTCGAATTTTTGTATATATAATATTTTTGTATATATAACATGTCAGTGACAGAAAGTTGCTACAACTATTTGATACAGCCTTTTTTAATTTTATCTTTATATATAAGTTCAATTATATATTTATATCAAAACAAAATTTGAATTGTTTGTATATTTGTTTAACAAATACATATTTCTATTTTTCTAGTTTAAACTTTTTAACAAAATAAATAGTGTCAAATATCGGATTAAGTATTTATTATTTTCTGCTTTAGCAGTATTTATAGTCCTCTAGTCTTTGATATTTAAGTAAGATGTGTAGAAGTTTTTTAGTCCTTTTTTTTCCAAACAAAAATTTTTATATTTGTCTAATAGTGACTAATTTAAATCAAAAAAAAAATATTTTGCAGATAAAATAATGAAAAGTTAAATAACTTTTTTTAAAAAATATTCTAGAGATATTCTAGGGAGTCCCATATTAAGAAATACTCTTTCAATTAGTACACTTAATGTTTAACGAGAAAATTACAATAAAATAATAATAAAATAAAGCAAAAAGCATAAACTGTCAATAAAAATCCTCAAATCTCAAAAAATCCTTAAAAATCCACATTTAAAGTAAAAGTTTATACAAATTTTAAACTAATAGTTTAATTTTTATATTAGATTTTAAACCAAGTTTTTAATTGTTGTTATAATAAAAAGTTACTTAAGCTTTATGCAAGTATATATTTATGTATTTATTTTGCTTTCATAAATGATGCCTACCATGGCCATATTTATGGCACCATATCTTTTTGGTAATTTTGAATATTAAAAAAAACTAACAATTTGAAGTCAAGTGCTTTTACCTATATAATCCACAAGCACCCCGCTAATCAAAAATTCCAAGAACGTTTTGATTAAGTGTCATATCCTGCTTGTTGCATTGCCATTTTATGGATGTTTCTTTTAATAGCGCACTCAATCAATAATTATCTGAGACCATCTAGACCAATCAATAGAAAATATTATCCAGACCAATCCATTGAAATGTAGCAAACTGTCATTGAAAGACTTGTCCTATGAATTTTTTGCACTATTTTTTATTTTATTTTAATAAATTCACTCTTAGCGGAGCAGTAAGCCACCACTAATTAAGTTTCAGGTCAAGTAAAAAAAAAAAAGAAAATGATCGACAAAAAAACATCATCCAGATTTGACCAGAAGTTTTTTCTAGTACTATACCAGTGTTACTTCTACAAAATTGTGTTGTATAAAAAAAAGTTATAAACTTACTTTAGTTTTATTTTTAATAAATAAATATGTATATATATATATATATATATATATATATATATATATATATATATATATATATATATATATATATATATATATATAATGTAAAGGAAATCACAGAATAAATATTTATGTCTGGATAAATATTTGCGTGTTTGTTTGTATATGCAAATTAAAATTATTTCAATCTTTTTTTAGCCAATATGCGTGTCCAAATAGTAGTTGTAATCTACTAAACCAAACCACAGATGATGAAGATTTAACTCCAACTTTTGGATTTTCACATATTTTATATTTTAAATAATACTTTTTAATTTGTTTATAACACTAGCATTACAAAAGTTTAATATAGTTTTTAGTTTTAGTTTTTAATTTTTTATAAAACTTTTAAGATTTTATTTACAGTTTTTGTTTTATTAAAGTTATTTAGTTGTATCATTGCTTATGATAGTTTAAACATGTATAAATATTTTTGTTGTTTTTGTTTCTTAGTAAGCTTGTTAGGCAGGGCAACCATATTGTTGGGTGAACTTTTTTTTTAATGTTTTGCTAAAGTTAATTAGTTAATATTATAGTAGATTATAGTAAAAAAAGTAATTATATTAGGTGATATTTCTCTTTTACTGACTTAAATTTAAAATATACAAAGTAAAGGCATAAAGATCAAAGAGTAAACATTTAGTTAATAAATTGTTCAAATTAAAAAGTAATTTATGCAAAAGCACGTTTCAAAAAGATGTTTTTAGATTTAGTGCTGTATTAGTTAAAGATTTCATTAGCATTGCAATATGGCGCTTAAAGTTTTGATTTCTTTGTATAATCTGTTTATCATAGATATAGGTTATAAAATTTATAGCTTTTATAGGTTATGAAATTTATAATAGATGTAGGTTATAAAAAATTATAATGAAATTTATAGGTTAAGCTTAAATTGTGAAAGTTTTATTTAAACATTAATTCAATCAAGTGATTTATTCAAAATTGATTTTCTATAAATCTGTTTAAGTTGAATTTTATAGTTTTTATAGTTCAATTTTAGTATTAGACAGTTTTTTAATATATAAAGTAATGGAAACATCTGCTAACGATGGTAAGTGTTGATTAAATAAAGTATTGTAGTTTATAACTTTTTAGTTTATGTTTAGTAGAAATTTATATGCATATCTTTATCATTTGATAGTTTATTTTAAGTTAAAACTTTACTTTTTTTAGCATCAGACCAGAGATTTGGTAAGTTTCATTACTTTTAATTTGTTTTGTTTTTAACTGCAATCTGGAATATGGTATCAACTTTTTTTTAAAAATTTGTGTTTAGCACTAATATTGTCAGAATTAGCCACTTTAAGAGCAGAATTAAACAAAGGTATTGTTATTAATATAATTATTTTGTTTTTTAGAGAGAAATAGTTAAGGTCGTCATTTTTGGGTTCTTATCACATTTTAAGTATCCACTTTATATTTTGATAAAAAGGATAATAAAAAAAATGATTGTGTATCTTTCTACGAAAAATATGTTGCCTGACAATTTATGCACCTACATATATATATATATATATATATATATATATATATATATATATATATATATATATATATATATATATATATATATATATATATATATATATATATAATATATATATATATATATATATATATATATATATATATATATATATAAATATTTATATATATATATATATATATATATATATATCTTTCTACGAAAAATATGTTGCCTGACAATTTATGCACCTACATATATATATATATATATATATATATATATATATATATATATATATATATATATATATATATATATATATATATATATATATATATGCTTTTGTAAAGCAGAAGTCCATTTTCCAGAAACCATTTTGTGACTGCATTTGCACATTCTGTGATTTTGTTTAAGTTATCTTTTTCTGTGTTAATGAAAGTATATAATTGGGTATTATCTGTAATGATTTTTGCCATGTTTAGCTATAATATAATAGGATAGACAGGTGAAACAAACATCAACAGGAGTGGTACTCTTGTTGCTCACTGACAATCTAGATTTTGATAAGCCATCTATATACATAAATACATACATATATATATATATATATATATATATATATATATATATATATATATATATATATATATATATATATATATATATATATATAATATATATATATATGTATATATATATATATATAATATATATATATATATATATATATATATATATATATATATATATATATATATATATAATATATATAATATATATATACATAAATACATATATATATATATATATATATATATATATATATATATATATATATATATATATATATATATATATATACATACAGATGCATCAAGCTTACCAACTGATCAGGGTTCTTCAGTCATATCAACACCTCCGGCTCAGGAAGTAGTCAACAACCTCTCTAGTTCAACAAGTAAGCAAATTGTTAATAATTTCAAACACAAATTAATTACTATGGTTACAAAAATTAAATCCATTTATCAAGTTATGGTATTAATCACCTATATTTAGTTTCTGAAAGGACTCTGGCTTTTTGTGTTATTGATGTCAAAAATCTGACTTGGGATTTCTTTGGGGTAAGGGAATTTCTTTTAAAGAAATTCAATTTTTTTATTTTGGTGCGCTCAAAAAGTTTATTATAAACAACTAAAATTTTATATGAAAATAGAGTACATCAATTAGTAGCATATAAACGTTTTGTAAATGACGTAAATGTTACATATAGAATACTGAAACTTTAAACTATGAACCGGGAGGATTTTAAACCGGGAGGTTTAAAAATTAATATCTGATGTTAGTACAAACATAGAGTATATATATTGACTAACAGATAAACTTCAATTTTTTTTTCAATCATGACAGGCTATACTTTTTTCGGTTACAAATGTTCTCAGTAATAAGTTTGAAGACTTTCGAGTCTCATTATTTTGTAAATGTAGTCCATAAAATCTCTCAACATATTTGGAGTTTCTGACATCAAATACCAGTAGTAACTAGTTGTTTGAAGCCAGAGCCTTAAATATAACTAGTTGTTTGAAGCCAGAGCCTAAATTATAAAATGATATTTTTGTTAAATAAATATTAGTAGTTGTTATTCTTAGTTTAGTATGAAATGTTTACTTTGATTAAGGTACTCCCAATGATGGCATCAAGGATTCAAATGGTAAATTTGATTTAAAATTTTGTTTTAAAAAAACTTATATGCTTAAAAACTTAAAGTGTTTTGTATTAATTTTTTAGGATTTTCATTTCAGGAAAACATTCCAAGAACGATGCAAGAAAATACTTAAATGTGCTTTGTTTTTTTAATACTTTTACCTATAGTTTATGTAATTATTGGGTGTTTAAAAGAATAAATATATATATATATTTAACCAGTTCTTGCTTTGGCGTACTACGCATCCTGGTCCGAAGACGCGCAAAGCATTTAATGTTTGGGCCCGACAAGATGGCAAAGACCTCTCCAACTTTCGATGGACGCTTGTAACACTTTAGCTGATACGAATATAAAATTAAAAGACGGAGGAGTTAATATAAACTAAAATAATAGTTAATAAAATAGGAGTTAATATAAATTAAAACTAATTTAAATTTTGAATTAGTACTTTAAAACAAAAAATTAAATTTTATAAATTCAAAAAAAAATTATAAATAGCCTAAAATATTCAACCATTTTTATACTTGGACTTTATTGACACTCGGGCAATATTTTATGTTTAGCAAAACCGTTTTGTTAGCAAAATAAATAATTCTGTGGCGGTATTTACCGCCACTTTAGTAAAATATTAACTATTTGTGATGGTTTTGCTTAATTTGCATTTTACCGCCACTCTAGCAAATTTTAAAGCTTAGCGTGGCGGTATTTACCGCCACTTTAGCAAAATATCAACTTTAGGTGGCGGTATTTTACGTCATGAATCTTACCGCCACTCTAGCAAATTTTAAAGCTTAGTGTGGCGGTATTTACCACCACTTTAGCAACATTCATAATAAAAACGCAATAAGATTCTTAAGGTAAGTTCAGGATTCCATAGCTTAAAGTTAAAATAATTAATATTCTTTTAATGTGGAGCACGTTTTCACTTGGTTATCGTCAAAGATTAAATTTAAATTGGTAAAAAAATTATTATTGTTAGAGATAATAATAATTTAAATTTATTAGAAAAAACAACATTGAGTAACATTTAGGTAATACAAGACCTTTTTAGACAAAATATTTAACCTTTTTAGACAAAATATTTTAAATTTTGAATGTAAAAACCTTATGTTGATGTTTGTTTTAATACTCGTTTAAAAACATTTCTTATGAATGTTTTTAAACAAGAAATATAACATAAGCTTTTTATATTCATAATTTAAAATATTCTGTCTAAAAAGGAATTTCCTTTAAAAGCACAATTTAAATTAAGTGCAAAATTTCTCAAAAAACAAGAGGTTGCACCCTGCATCACCAAATTCGCTGAAACTTGGCACAAATGATTAGAGACATAAGTTAGGATAGACTGTAAAAATTTTTCAAAAAATTCTCAACACTTTAAGATTTACAGCAACTTGAAGTTAGTTATTTTTTGACTGAAAGAAGGGGGGGAATAAAGCCGGAAATATGTCAATTTACCATTACCCTTTTAACAAACTTGTAGAAATGTTTCGAAGCTATAACTTTGTACCAAAGGAGTTTAAAACCTGCTGAATCTGAAAATCATAAACTTATATCTCTCAAAACAATAAAATATAGTTTATTTTTAAATCCACAAAACGCACTTGTTAATGACAATAAAAAAGGCCATTGACAACTATAGTTCTAGAAAAAATCTGACTGATGAAAAAAGTTTTGGTTTTTCTTATTTTAAATATTAAACATATATCTACTTTGCGAACCAATTTTTATTTGGCCTTATGTTTTATCTAGGAGTTATTGATGTTTTGGTGTTTCAATTTTTCTAAAGATATTTTGCAAAGAAAAAAAATTGGCAAATATATTTCGAATACAAATACAATTATTTTTGTTTTGTAATAGCTTTGTAAAAAAATTACAAAGTTATTACAAAATATAGTTGAACATTTTATAAATTTGTTTCTTTTTACTTTCATTACACATTAATAATATCATTTTCATAACAAAATATCATGCCATTAAATTTAACAATATTATGTAACTTTTGTTGTTGATTGTTTTGTTGTAATAAAACATTATCATCAATAAAAAAAAGTAATAAAATGATATCATAATGTCTAATTAACATTACCATGTTAAGTTACATAACTAAATAAAATTATATTTAGTTATCTTTTGCTTTTACACAACTTTTTGTAAGTAGTAAATGGACAATAATTAGTAGATTAGGCATTTAAAATATGTCTATCAAACTAATAGCTACTTGTTTAAGCAATATGTTCTTTATAAATACATATTGATATGATATTGTTTGTGTTCAAGTGTCCTTTTCTTGTTAGGGACAATAAGATTATTTAAGATTTTTTGTATTCAGTGTTTAGACAGAGATTCCTCATTATATTTTTATATGGATAACAAAATTAATTGCTGCTTTGCAAACAATTATGGAGCTTGTTTTAAACAATCATATACTCATAAAAAAATCTGATTGAAGATACTGAAAGCAATGATCGTAAGCTACTTGAAAAACGAACATATCTGAAACAAGAACAAATTACTAATATATGCACACACCATCATAATATGTTTGTTGTAAGATATGAGGGTAATCAGAAAAGTTGCTGTAATCTATTTCTGAGTCACCAAAAAGTGTGTAAAGATAAAAACTTAATATTTATATTTCATTAAGTAATATCATTGTTAATAAGTCATATAAATTTTTTTTGGTAATAAGATTTGTTCAATGTTTCATAGTTATTAATATAACAAAAGTGTATAGAAATATAATTACATAATATATATAATTAATGTTATTTAAGTAATGTAACTACTTTCTATTTAAGCATCTCTACGTGTGATTACAATGCATACTGTGTTAGAAGCAGAAACCATAGGTTTAAATCTTATATCTGGAAAAAAACCGTGTCCAACCTGTCGAAGTAAAGTTATGACATGTTTATCAAAAAGTATTAGTGAAAATAAAAATGATGAAGATTTTGATATTGTTAATGAAAGGTCTATTCAAAATAAAAAAGAAAGTGTAGATACACACTTTGCATGCAACTAATTGACAGCATTATCAACCTCCATTAAAAAAAAGGTAGCCATTTCCCTTAATATATCAAAAGAAAGTTTTGGAGAACAGTCAAATTTAATAATAAGTATATGGAAAAAACAAACTTGTTTGATATCATGATGGTATTGTTAACTAACAAAATTTCAGAGTCTACATCAACATCAAAAAAAGTGTAACTTGCGACACTTACTTCAACAGACTGGTCAATAAAAAAGGTATCTGAAACATTGCATGTAACAAACTATGTAGCTCGAACTGCACCTAAGTTAACATTGAAAAAAGGTATTTTAACCATGCCTAATCCTAAATTAGGAAAACCTCTTCCTGATGTAACAGTTCAACTCGTCAAGAACTTTTACAAAGACGATGAACATAGCTGTATAATGCCTGGTAAAAAGGACTATGTAAGCATAAAGAAAAATGTCCACATGCAAAAACGTTTGCTCTTATGTAATTTAAAGGAATTGTTTGTTGCCTTTAAAACCAAAAACTCAGAAATGAAAATAAGATTTTCAAGGTTTTGCAACTTGCAACCTTAATGGTGTATTACTGTTGGTGCCTCAGGAATACATTCTGTATGCGTCTGTGCTATTCATCAGAATATGAAACTGCTTTTACACCCTCTTGGTGTGACATACAAAGAATTGTTACCTTATATTGTCTGTGATATAACTAATAAAGACTGTATGATGAGGAAATGTGAAAAATGCCAAGCAACTATGAATGCATTGGTTTAAAAACTTTATAATATACTTGGAGAAATTGAAGATGATGATGAGATTGAATTTGATCCATGGACAACAACAGATTGGTCAAACTTGACACATAATAAAGAGCCAGTGTTTGAATACATTGAACTAGTATGTAAAAAACTGGAAAAACTTGCACCACATTCGTATTTAGCAAAGAGTCAAGCATTATACCTGAGATCAAGAAAGGAAGATATGAATGAGGTAACAGCATTATTTCTGGGTGATTTCAGAAAAATGAAGTGCAAAGCTTTCATTGGACAAATTTACAATGTACACTTCATCCAGTGATTATTTATTTCAAAAAAGAATGCAGTCTCAAGCACAAATCTTATTGTATTATTTTGGATTATATGATCCATGATGTAAACATGGTTTATAAAATTTTGAGGTTGTTTGCAATGATATAAAAACAAATTTGCCTCAAATAAAAAATATTAAATACTTTTCAGTTTTAAATGTGCAGGTCAATATAAGAATTGCAAAAATATGTTAAATCTTTGTTTCTATTGTGAAGATTTTGGTTTTACAGCTAAATAGAACGTTTTTGCAACTAGTCACGGTAAGCAACCCTGTGATGGGATAGGTGGTACAGTCAAACGTCTGGCAACACTAGCAAGTTTGCAAAGAGATATGGGTAATCATATTTTATCTCCACAAACAATGTATAAATATTGTAATGAAAACATTGAAGGCATAAATTTCATATATATTTCATCAGAAGATTTAAATTTGGTGAGAACCGCTCTTGAAGAACAATTGGATACTGCTAATACAACTTAAAACCTCTTCCTTTATATAACAGCAAATAAGTTTTTGCATGAAAAAGAAATATTATACTTCAAATATAAATAATAAACAATTCATAAAACAAAAAATTATACTTTTTTTTGGTGTTGTTTATTTTCGTTTTATTATACATTATTTTAGTTTCATTTTTGGCTTGTTGCCAATAAGAAACCTGGCAACCCAGGTACGCTATTTACAAACGACCTGTAATGAAATATCACATCTGCCTAAAACATTACATCCCCCATAGAAAAAATGGAAACAAGAACGCGCTTTCGAATCATTGCACTTAGAAGTATATCAAATACGTCAAAAACATTCAATTATAAACAATAATAAACGCAACGAGATTCATAAAAACGTTTTTCTACTAATATACTATAAATGAAGTTAGCATAAAATGGTAATATATTTTAAATTCTTATTTATAAAATTTTGATCGTAATGTATTGCGTGATATTGGTATAATTAATTTAATTAAATTAAATTTTTAATTTATTATTTTTTTTAACATTTAAATTCAT